AGAGAGAGAGAGAGAAAAAGACACCGTCGAGCCTTTTACTGGGCTCCCCAACGTGAGCTTCAACGTGAGCTTCAATTCAGTCGGATTGCCTTTATTATTCGACATTCACTCCGCGAATAATCACGACGAAGAGGATAGCTCGTCGTCGTTTATCGAACGATCGATAAATTTTTCGAAACGATCGCGCAACGAAAGTTTATCGATCGCGTTAACCGGGCGAAAAAAATTCAATGACGGTGCACAAATGGACGATGGAAGAGGGCTCGTGTTGAACGAACGATGATCGCGTTCCATCAAAATTTGCTTGTCGAATCGAAAAATTCAAGATGCGATTCATATTTTTTGCGCGTTTCATCCTGTTTCAAAAATCTTGTCCAAAAATCGATTTCGTATTTCATGAATATCGAACGCGATCAATTATGAGCTCGTCTGTTATTCACAAGCTGCGTAAATGCACTTTGCATTTTAGAGTATCGCGAGTATTACGCTTCGATCGTTTTCAAGTGTAATGTACTCGCCACTTATACATGGTTGGCCATTGTCCCTGCTCCATGCGCTCTAACGATCATTGCGCGTTCAATGCATTCCATCGAGAGTTGAGATAAAGTTCATTCATTTGCGTTTTTGCGCAAATATTTTAATTTCCTCATAATCTTTGGAAATCACAAATGCATCTATGCTTTCATGCTAAATTTTTCTATCCTTTCTGCTTAATCTTTTTTTCTTTTTTTTTTTTGTTGTGTGTATTAATATCAAAACACGTGGTACGGTTTTTCTCTTTTATGCATTTATATTATTTCGTCTCTCTCTAGAATTAAAATCTCTTTTCCTTAAAAGTTTGGTTAATCTTTCCGCTCGTTAAATTTATTTCGACGAAATATAGTAGAAATTTTCTGACAGTACGAGAAAGGGGATTAATATTCCTCCTTGAGAATCCTGTTATTCACAAAGTTTTGAAGGAAAGTAGTGATAAATGTTTGAAACGGGAGGGGGCAATGATAAAATCAGCATGGAAATTATTGGAAAGTTAATCGGGTAGTGAATCGATCCACGGTAATCACGGTATAGTTACCCAAGGGAATTCTGCAGCAACTGGTCGGTTCCGTTAGGAATGCCTAGATTCTCTAAGCTGCTGCGTCCACCGGGGTCTATTCTCGCCAGTCCGAGGAAACGTATCGTCAATAAGATCTTGTGAAACGGCTCACGGCATTTTTGGTCCGCGTTCGACTTCGGTTATACTATTTTACGTCTATGTTTAGATCTGGTCGTCCAGCTGACGTCCATAAAGTAGGCCGAATAGCTGAGCGCTTCTATAATGTTTATTATCGGTTCAAAGATGACTCTTGGCCATTACACTTGACGTCGAGTGTCATCGATGAAATTCATGGAATTTCACGAAAACTGACTTATCCCTCTCTCGTATTTTCAATCTCTCTTTCTTTTCAATCATCCACTTTTGATTCGCAACATCGTGCAAACGTAGACTTCTCGAGAGTAAAATTTTCAAGAATATCTTCTTGCAAATGGGTATACCGTGTAAGTGAGAATGAACCCATAGTTGAAAGCAGTTTTCTGACGACTGACTCTCACGTTGGAAAATTCTCTCAAATGGATTTCTACTTAGATTGGATTATCTCTGAAAGATCTAACACGAGTTCTCGAGTTCATCCATTCTCGAGAAGACTGCCCCAACGAACCGGCATTCATCGACCATTTTATTCTCAGATTATTCTTATTATTATTCGCGTCCAAAACAATCGGGCGTCTCCCTCATTCGAGTGTGAACAATCGTTGATGCGCGATCGCAGTTTCGCAGAATTTGGCGCATCGATTCAATTCGTTGGACAACTCCTCGGAGGATTGAATAAATTTACATTAACGAGATTCGCAGGTGGTCTGGCCGCCGAGATGCCAGATTTAGATCGGGCCAATCGGTTAAATTGCGATTAGACCATTTAGAAAATCGTGGTTCACCGAGAGAGGACGTTTCCATTCGAAATCGCGTATATATTTCTTCTCCTCTTCCTCCTGTCCCTGCTTAGTCGAATAAAGCTATAACGTTTCCGGGACGGTTGACAACTGCCTCGGATCGTTCGGTTAATCAGATATGGAGCGAAGATGGATGGAGGGAAAAAGCGAGGTAGCATCTCTCTCGAGGATACTTTTCTTTATATCTCTTTCACAATGGTTACGCGTGTTGGAGATTCGTTTCATTAGCTCGCCCCTTATCGCGTAATGAATTTCCACCTTTCACTTTTATCTCTGGCAAACATTGACTCTGATTCCGTATCTCTGCCATCCTTGATACGCGTCGAAGGCGCGTAATGCAATTTATTATCGCGTATAATAAAATTTCGGATCCCGCTTTTGTTTAAATTTCACTTTTGTTTAAAACTGTCTAATCGTTTTTCCTCCCCTTTCGTTTGTTTGTTCGCAGATGTGGCGATTAAGGTTTTGGATTTACGTGCTGGTGGTGGCGATATCATTGGCGCAAGTGAGGAGGGTCGTGGCCTGTTCTTGCATGAATAGTCATCCTCAGACGCTGTTTTGCAATTCAGATTTCGGTAAGGAAATTTCGCATTAGAAAGGAGTGTATGGTAAAACGCGTGTACGTACGTCTTTGCCGGGTTCGTGATTTGCGATCACCGCCTCGCCCGCGCATAAATTTAGAAAATTGGAATTTTTTTTTTTATACTTTATTAGAATTGTTATTAGAAAACGATCGTATCGTCGTTTTCGTTCTTGATTTATTCTTCGTTGTTCTATCTTAATTGGAACGTTATTCGCGTTAATTTTATTCTCCTTCTACTTTTTCTCTTCCTTTCTTTCTTTTCACAGTCATTCTTGTAAGAGTGAAGAAGATGACGAACGTGAACGAATTCGAAACCGCGTACAACGTGAAAGTGAACAAATTGTTCAAGGTTCGTATTCATTTTCTTTCTTTATACAATTGCTTTGCTACGATGATTATTTATCGTTCACCCTATAATTACAGACGAACAAGACAACGTATCCCGCGCTGAGGAAAAATATTTTATGGACCGCATCCTCGGACTCGATGTGTGGAGCACAGCTTAAAGTTGGAGAAACGTACGTTGTGAGCGGACGCGTGATTTACGGTGATAAGGCGCATATATCATCGTGCGGAATAGCGATGCCTTGGCGTTTCGTGACGAGCAGACAGCGGAAGGGCTTCAGGCATTTATATCATTCCAGTTGTATGTGCAAAGTGAGTGAGAAAAATCTCGGTATTATTTTTCCTTTGAACGATGTTCGATTCGATATTGTAAAAAAAAAAAAAAAGGAGAAAATCCAAATTTCCACGATACAGATCCATTCCCTTTTTTTTCACATTTCGCTTATTTCAAAGAGAACGAAATATCCCCAAGCGTTGAATTTCGACTTTTGCACTTCGCGTCGAGTCGTGCAAAAGTTCCCTCTACGAGTTCTTCTTTTCTTTTTAAACTCAAAATTTTGAATCCATCGTGGAGGGATTAAACGTTAATTAAAAGTGATTTATTTTAGTTTGATAATAATTCAGAATTACTTATCGAACGTGGCGATAAAATTTTTCAACTTACTCACGAACACTTTGCTTCCTTGTTTTAACCCACGTCCATTTTGTTTGTTTCAGGTTCGTTACACACCTTGGTGGATCAAAGGTATAACTTTGGAGAACACGGACGGCACGGAATGCCTGTGGGAGAGCAGGCCAGGTCCCGAGGAGTGTCAAAAAGATTTCGGCATCTGCATGTACAGAGAGTCTGGATGCTATTGGACACCCTCGGTGCCTTATAAAAACTGCATCAAGAAGTATCAGCTGGAACGCGAGCAGAAAAGAGCGCGAGAACCTTAATATTCTTCCGTTTCGATTCAACACGAAAGTTCTATGGTTGAATGAAAGATTGATTGATTGATTGGTCACGATGGCGAAAGGGAGAGAGAAAGAGGGAAAGAAATCGATGTTGTTCGTGCACGTAGCACGTAGCATTTCGATTCAATTCGAATCTATTTGTATTAAAATTTCGTGAGATTCCTGGAAGAATTTTTGTTATACCGTTGGTAACAGAGAGAGAGAGAAAGAGAGAGAGAGAGAGTATCAACACGCAACAAAATCGTCGCTGTGTGTGTGGTAAATTAATGCTAATTCTTCTATATATACATATATATATATATATTTATTTAAGTCGATTGATCGACGATGTACGAAGAAATATTTGTAATAATGGAAGAATTCAGAAGCGTTGGATCGATGAATGTTATCATTTTGAACGATAATTATGTAAGTTTTAGAATCTTTTTTTATTCTTTAAACTTTCGATCGACGTGTTCAGTAATAATTCAATAATGGTTTAATTGATTCGTCGATGGAAAGAGGTATTGCAAAGAGTATAAAGAGATTTCTTGAACAATTGTGTTAAGTTCGATGCTTCTGAATTAAGTAACGCTTTCAATTAAGTATTCGAAAACTTTGCAAGTCAAATTGTATTGTCGATTGGAAGACGTTGGACATTGATTTCTCAATAACGTGGCGTTTTTTTTTTTTTTTTTCTATTTTTCAGCATCGTGTCACGCTCTATTTATTGTCGCGTTCTTATCAGAAGTATTAATCTGGGTGGGTTGTGTGGACGAGTACAAAAGAAATCGTTGGATAATTAATAAACGCGAAGCAGCGGATGAATGATGAAAATTATACACGCAGCTGTAACCCGGAAGCTGTTTCTTTCAGCTGTTTTGTTCAAGGGCGCGACGTGAATCGTACGACTCTCGAGACTGCTTGCATTTTCACGAGAATTTTTACTTGGTTAACTACATTCGAGGTTTGTTGCATTGCATTTTGCATCATTGTTGGATTCCTCGCCGTTAATAATTATCTATTTCGTTGACTTCTTTTCTTTTTCACGTCCGAATAATAAGCGTCGTTAATAATTTATTACGACGTTAAGGAAGATTTGTATTTAGAAACGAATATTTTTTCTTTTTAATCGAACAATGCCCCATTTAATTGAATTTCACAGCAACCTCGATTGAGTTTCGTTACGAAATCTGAAATAAGCAAGTAATAACAAAAGATTGGCCATTTTCAGCATCGTGTCACGCTCTATTTATTGTCGCGTTCTTATCAGAAGTATTAATCTGGGTGGGTTGTGTGGACGAGTACAAAAGAAATCGTTGGATAATTAATAAACGCGAAGCAGCGGATGAATGATGAAAATTATACACGCAGCTGTAACCCGGAAGCTGTTTCTTTCAGCTGTTTTGTTCAAGGGCGCGACGTGAATCGTACGACTCTCGAGACTGCTTGCATTTTCACGAGAATTTTTACTTGGTTAACTACATTCGAGGTTTGTTGCATTGCATTTTGCATCATTGTTGGATTCCTCGCCGTTAATAATTATCTATTTCGTTGACTTCTTTTCTTTTTCACGTCCGAATAATAAGCGTCGTTAATAATTTATTACGACGTTAAGGAAGATTTGTATTTAGAAACGAATATTTTTTTCTTTTTAATCGAACAATGCCCCATTTAATTGAATTTCACAGCAACCTCGATTGAGTTTCGTTACGAAATCTGAAATAAGCAAGTAATAACAAAAGATTGGCCATCTCTTTCTAGTTGTACATATTAGGCTATTGATGTATATTATACATTTTTAAATTATTCTCTTTACTTTTATCTCGTTGTACGTAGCTTTGCTCTTTTTTTTTCTTCTTTTTTTTCCTTTTTCATATATATATAGAGAAACTGTTAGAAAGTATTTAATTTTTAGCGAATCCTTGTATAGGTAGGTGAATATTGAAATAACATAATCTATGTTTTCTAAAAAAAAAAAAAAAAAAAAAAAAAGAAGAGAGAGAAGAAAGAAAAAAGAAAAAAAATTTTAAAGGAGGAACGCAATTCCTTGAAAAAAACTTGGAGAAAGTTCAGTTGTATTTTATCTCGACGATTATGTTATCTCGTTATTCGAAGGATAGCACAAAGATGCTAAGCGTCGTTAAATTAGAAATGTTACGAATCAAGTTGGGTTTTCTCTAACCTCGTAGCTTAATCCATTAAGCATGATCGTATTCTTTCTTGTCGTGGTTGGAGGACAAGAAAACGACTCCCTTCACGTGGGTTTAGAACTTTAGTACAAAAAGTGGTAAAAACGCGCTTGAAAGAATTAACATGGACTTTCCTAGCTTGAGGACGTAACGATGTATGTTCTTTAGTCTTTATTAGTTCTTCCATTTGATAACTTTTGTAAGTATTATAATATTATTACGAAACGAGAAATGGGAAAAAATAAAACGAGAAACGTATAATAATAATAATAATAATAATAATAACAACGATAATAATCTTTCCCTTCTACGTGAACTTTCAGGATCAGAATGGGAACAATTTCAATGCAACATTTTATTTATAACTCACCATTTCACGATGATTGGGATAGTAAGTTTGCTCGATCAACGGGAAGTTATCTTTTCCTAAACGACGTTGAAGCCCCAGAAGATGCGCGAACACCCAAGGTTTATCCTGAAAGCGGAAACGTAATTAAGAAAACCCATCTCCTCGAAGTGGAGGTCGATCAAGTTTTAATCGTTCCTCCATTCGAATGACTCTCTTGGCCGGTTTTCTTTAATTGGACGAACTTCGTACCTGAAAGTTGTAAATTGCCGTGAGATTGTTAACGCTCGGCACACCGCCGTACATCAAACCGAGAAGAAGATTCTTGTAATCTTCTCCCGCGTCCTTTAGGTTTTGTCGTATCAGAACGAAATCCGGCTTGAAGGATCTGTGGACACAAATTTTCGACACTTGTGCGTTAAAAGTATTCGGAAATTTATGGAACGAAAATTCTAAGTTTTATTTTCTTTTTAAGGAAAGATTAATATCACACTTGATGACAATTATGTCTTTTTGACGAAGGTTGAAAATTTTATTCTTTTCAAGAAAAGGAAGGAGGATTCGATCGATTGAAATATTGATTAATTACCGGATGACTTTGGTCCCGTTACGATAAACCGCCATGGACACAACGGTGCCAGTCTCGCTGGCTGTTAACGACAATTCCCGAAATTCCGCCTGTTCAACGCGGATCTCGTAATCACCGTGAAGCCTACGACCCCGGAAATATTTGCTCCAGTCGGTGTTTTGGTCGTCTATGACCAGCAAGGTGAAGCATCGATCTTTGTTGTAAGAGGGTCCTCTTGTTGCACCCGACACTGCCGCTCCCAGAATCGATGCACCCTGGTTAACAGTGATTAAAAATTTGGCGCGATTAATTCTTCTGCCTTTCCTATGATAATATTTCGTAACAAAGAAAATTTATCCAACGACTCGCAGTTCTTTTTTTTTTTTTTTTTTTCTTTTTCATAATTTATGCTACAAAGCTCTCAAAGGTTAATAGGATAATAACAGCATGAAAAAGATTGATGGTATTTCAAGCACGCGAAAGCTCGCACATTTCTTCGAAGAACATTGGAAAGATCGTGTATCGCGTTGAACATGCAACAAGGCAATTTTGGACTCAAATCCGCCGATTTGAATCGGTGCACGATATTTACGTGGAAATGTAATCTAATCGTTCGAAAATGATGGAACAATTATTTATTATTATTTTATACGCGCTTTATAGGAGAAATTAAATTCGAAGGTGCTTGTCCACTTGCCATTTCTCCGGAAATCCAATGAAATTTCTAATAACTTGACCTTTCTCATCCTAATGATGCTTTAAGAATCACTTTCGTTAAACTAAACATATACGTGGGAAATATTTATTCAGAAATCTGTAAACACTTTTTCTCTCCGAATTTCTTTACCGTGAAGTGATCGTCGCCGACGTCAAACACGTCTTTTTTACATAACAAGAAAATTTCATCAATTGTGTAACCGAACGTTTAAAAGTGTTTAACTAGTAGCAACTCTTTCCTTTTTAAAACCAATACGAATGAATTATTTGACTGATCTTAATACAATCTTTGAAGAATCAATTATAAATAATTAAAAGATCATATTTAAAATAACACGAACGTGCCGCTGTTCCAGGACTCGTCGAAACACCCCTCGTCCCTCCCTCCGTCCGCCACAAATTCACCCCACCTTTTCTCAACCTACCTGATCACGAGCAGCCCCCGTCAAGCTCTGAACCCTCTGGAGCAAACTTTCCCGGGTCTTGGCAGGCGAGGACGGGGCGCTGGTGGTTCTGGAGCCGGGTCTCAGGTTGAGGCTGAGATCACCGCCGACGGGTTGAGGGGCTCCAGGCGGCGGTGCCCCGGGCACGGGCGGCTGACTGGCCGGCGGAACCGGCGTAGGTTGGGACTGCAACGGGCGTTCCGGAACCGCTTGATACGATTGGGACGAATCCCTGGCCATGGAGGCCAGCCCGGAGTCTGTGCTTGGTTCATCGTCGAGCTCCGAGCTCAAATCCCCTGACGAGAACCTGGAAGACAAACTATGGTCGTGGTCGTGATAACGGCAATCGGTCCGATCGTCCACGGATTTCACGCTTTTTAGTAGCATTCTTTTACATGTATATCTTTTTCATTCTGTTTTTACAATATGCACATCGAACAGCCAAGTGCTCGGGTGTTATACATTCTTTTTTTTTTCTTTTTTTTTTTTTTTTTAATCAATGGCTTGTGGATGGCGCGATGATTGACGATTGCTGATTGCCGGTTTGCATGCGTGACAAAACGGGGGGTGATGGCGTTATTATTTTCGACGATGCTGCGCGGCAACTCGCCACCAGTTGTCTTATTAGAAGTCGGTGCCTCGCGTGAAATGTGTGGCTCTCGACGATCGTTCGTGCTTTGCGACAAGGTGGGGGCGGAGACGTCTGCCGACCAGACAGACGGTCTCGGGTGACGGGTAGCCGATAGCCAGGTCTCGTACTATTATGAGTCTCATGGAGGCATGGGATGCGACATTTCGGTAAGCTTGAACGTAATTGGTAAATATTGGACAGATGGTTTACATGGGTTTCACATGGGCTTCTGGCCAACTGTGAACTGTAATTATAATAGAATAAAAGATATTTTTCGCAGCGGTTTAAAATAATCGAAGTGCGATCGGGATGGAAAATGTTGCCAAGATGGATAAACACGGATACGTCGGGAGAAGGGAGAGGGAGGGGGGGGGGGAAGGAGAGGGGGCAGTGAAGCAAAAGTGGCCACTTTGCAAAAGATGCCAAAGCACGTTTCTCGCCACGATTTGCATGCATGGATCGAGATTGATGGATCGAGAGTGCGCATGCACATGGAGAAGAAACGTTGTGGAGAACGTTGAATTTTTCTTTAATCGAGCCTAATTGTGCTTCGATCGAAATAATGGCACGGTGTGTTGGTGTTATCGATCTGTCTATCGTTCGGATACCTCGAGAGACTCGAATATCGATGTTAATTACAGTAGAACGGATAAATAGGATACTCGAGCGAGACGGTACAATTTGCAACAAGGAAGAAAGATCGCGATGTTCCAGATGGACGTGTGGACACAACACGGTAAAAGTCCATGTTTGAGAGTCTAGATAAAGCGTTGTTGTTTCGCGCTGCTATATATTATGCGACTCTCCGTCCTCGAATTCGATGAAAAGGCCGGGACAAACGTGCTCGTCCACAAGCATCCATCGTGCAACGACCCGTACTCTTTTGTCTTGTATCGCTCTATGCATCTCCGCGTACCATTATGGACGCATTTAAACGTTCTCCGTGAGAAACAAAGTGACAAGAATTTTCTTCACCGACCAAAATTAAAAACACGTCGATTTTTCCATCGAAGAAAATAGAAATTCTTTTCTTCTTCTTTTTTTTTTTTTTTTTTTTTTCTTTTAACTTTTCCAAATTGACACGCGAAAATTCCTCATTTTTTTGAAGGAACGACATTACAGCAAATTTCATAAATAATGAAATACCATCGTAAGAAATCGTAAAGGAACGATCTGTCGTCGTTCTAAAGAAAAGAAAAAAATATATCGAACGAGCAAATAGAAATCTCTTCCGGTATCCCTTCCGAATCCTTGGAATCTGTTGAGACAGCCGGGGAAAGTATGGAGGAATTCGATTCGAGCAAACTGTTATCGGGCATGCAAATAGAGAATGAAATAGAGTGGACAGGCGTGGTTGGACGCGTCAGGCACTCACCTCCGTTTCAGGTAGTTAACATTGGAAGTGAAGGACTGTCGAAAGCTGGAGAATGAAATGTTGCCGGGTGAAGGAGCTGTACCACAGTATTTGGCGCAACCGCCGCGGCCGGTAATCTTGCTGGTTTAACACCGACCTCGTCCTCCTCACGAAAACCGCAGAATTCCGCCTTGGTATTCGCTTTTCGTGTGGTATCCGCACCGGTGTACCCTTCTCCTCCTCCTCCTGTCTCCTGTTCTCGAAACGCGGATTTACCAGAAAGAAGGGCTCGTCTCGTGTGCTTTCCTCTCTGCTCGACGATGCTCGAACGAGATCGTTGCGTTCCCCTTGCCGAGTTTGTGGAATAACAGTGTTGAACGTAAGGTAATCCGAAAGGAAGGATGAAATAAGAGAGGTGAGGAAGGAGAAACTAAACAATCCAAGTTGAAATCTGTAAAAAAGGGAAGAGACAGGTAGAGAGAGAGAAAGAGAGAGAGAGAGAGAGACAAAACGAGAAAGATGAGAATTAATCGTTGAATGAAATATTTATTTATAAAGTTTCGCGCGCAGGTTCGAAGGATGGTGGTGATGTTTTGTTCAGAATTGGGTGAAACTTTGCACGTATATATCTTTATATGTATATATATAGCGACTTGTGATGCGCTGATTACGTAAAAACGTGAGATAAAAGTTTTACTATGCGGATGTATAATCTCTTGGGACAAAAGTGTCTTTTTTTTTGGATCTTTCTTTCTTTTTTTTCTTTTTTTTTTTTTTTTTTTTAGCGTTTCTTTTCCTCGGTGATTTGTATATTATCTAAAAGAATACGCGCGAAAATATGAGATTAATCGGATATTATTTGTATCGATTTGTGATAATTTAAATGTTAATTAACGATAAGTTGGTAACAATAAGAAGCAATATTTATCTTCTCTTTATGAAGATAATGGATCTAACTTGAGCTTACATCACCGACGAATTTAATATTAGATAGAATATCTTATCGTTTTACAAAAATCTTTTTTTTTTAATGTCATAATTGGACGTAATAATCTCTTGGACTACACCAATATGATGGAATAAATTAAAATCAAAAATCACTTCGAAATAAATTCTGTCGAAAATAAACTTTTGAACGATAAAGAAAAGAAAAAAAAAAAAGAAAAAGAAAAGAAAAAGGGGGAAGATAAATTCTCTCCGTTGTTTTATTTACTTTTTTTTTTTTTTTTTATTACGTTGAAGTATCGCTATAATTAAACGTATATAATACACGTTCTCAATAAGGAACAACAAGCTTATGCGAGGTCCGCGATAAAAACGTCCACGCGAGCAGAATGGAGGCGCGGACGAGATGGAGGAGACCCCCTCGCAGAAATTTAGCACAGCAAAAGTAGAGCTTGATATTCCGCTGATCGATACGACGCAGCGTGACTTTACACGTTGAAGAATTTTTTTTTTACACGAGCGTTTCCCTCCCCCTTTCCTTTCCAACCACTGATTTTAAAACTTCAATATCGGATCGCGGCTGATAACGAGCCTGATTATCTTCAATAAAAAAAAATATATATATATATATCTTCGCGAAGTGGGGAGGAACGACGATGGAGGAGAGTCGTCAATTTGCGTATAAAAGAGATAATAAAGAAAAGTCTGGTGCCTCGTCTCGTTTTTTTCGAGACCCTCCTCCTCGAATAATTCGAGTCCCTGGTGTTGAAGAAACGCGACACGATTATTCCGTGACGGAATTGTTAAATGTGACGGCAGAAGAAGATGGGGAGAAGAATTGCACACGGACGGAAGAAAGGGGAAAGTTGAGAAGGAAAGATGGAGAAAAGTTTCGTGATTTCTTCGAAACTTTGCAGCAATCGCTTTCTACGTGAAAGCATCCTGTAATCAGAATGGCTAGAAAACTTTAAACCAGCAAAGTTTGCCCCCGCTGCTCATGACTAACTTGGCTAACTGTCTGAATTCAATTAATGCCCGAGATATCCTAGTCCTAATTGAATTTTAAATTAGCTTCGACGAATTTCTTGGTAATCCCTTC